TAGTTTGTAAATGTATACTTACTGCAGATAAAACAATTATTAATATTGTAATAAAATATATAACTGGGATAAGACAGTACAATTTTTTGCCACGCTTGCACCGAAAGTTTAGTTTACGACGACTATTAAAATGTTGAAGAGCGACTCTTTTCTTTCTAACGGGCGGTAAAGTGAGAATCACAAAAKTGCCTGGTGGTAAAGTGACAAAGGTCGTAAACTCAAAGGTGGTAGCGTATCACTGGTATCACGCCTGCAGCACAACCACGCACTGAAGACTAAAATCTRTACTATTTATTAACAAAACACAAACTTTTGCAGGTATCTTAAATTCATATTATAACCTCCTTGCATGACGCGTAATTATTGAAAAGTATTTAATTTTTACTGTTCTTATACAATAAGACATTGAACGTTAGTACGTTACCAATAAGTTTATAAATCTGATTATAACTTAAGGTTATTATACCAAAATAGAACAACATTTCTTCCAAGAAATTGTTTTCGTAGAATTTTCAGGTTGTTGCACAGTCTCGTAGACATCTACATTATCTTTCTGTCAATTTACGCGATCGATGAACGCAGAGTCGGCATGACAAAAAATAGTATGTGAAGCTCACTCATGCTGGATTATTATGAATTTTCGTGTAAGTATAATTAGGTATAAGTATCATAATAAATTATACTCGAATGTTTACTTAAATTCCCTGTTATATTGTATCTACGAGTATATTAGCAGGGGCATATCTATAGGTAGTGTCTTGAGACGGCACGGTCACAACGGACCGGCGTCAGAAATAATAACACCWGAGTTTTCGATATTTACGTATTGTTCTGTATTTTCATATTATACAATTTAGGGGCAGCGAGGATCACGGGTGCGACGACGGTCGGTCTATGAAGACGGTCCGTGGCGGTGAGAGCTCGGCACGGCCCGCAGTCGCCAGGCCCTAGTTACAAAATATGTGGAACGTTTATCGGGAAAACGTGGACGGTTACGGCCGCCGTGTGGACGAGGTCAGTAGGTATACCGCGGCGCGTGACTCGCAAGAAGCGGTTACTGCGGTATACGAGACCCGGGTTTCGACACAACTTGATTAAGTGGCCGTGGGGGGACGAGGGGTATCGTGTCAGTCTCCGAATGATGGAGTTGGCGGCGGCTGTGGAAACCAGCGTCTTGATTGTCCGACGGAGCGCGGCGACTGCTTGGCCTAGGGTGCTTCGTGCGGCCGGTGCTCGTAGTCGGGATGACGTGTACGCGGCCGATTCCCCGTGCACAACGCCGGGAGCTGCTTCTTTCGRTTCTGCGCTGGTTGATGGCTTCGTGGGAAGCGCGGATCGTCAAATCTTCTATAGTATTCGTTCCTTCAAGTATTTATGTTGTTGAAGGTTTGTTGAAAGAAGACTGATTATCGGTGCGGTGAAAATGTCCGGAATATAATAGCTAGGTCCCGTACCGACTGGTTAACGCTTGTGTTGCCGCCGTCGCTGTTGTGTTTACGTTTTGTACGGGAAGTAGTGTTGTCCGCACAGTTTTGGGGCTATAGGTATGGGGATGGTATTGTTCGACGCGTCTCGGTTACCCCTTTGTAGCCCTTGTTGTTCAGAGTGTAAAATAACTTTGGGGCTCTGTAATGAGGGCGCAAAGTTATTCTACCTGGTCGTGTTGTTATGCTGAGCTGTGATTGGTGATGCTGAAAAGGACCGTTTATGTGTTCGACGATGTACTGTTACAGGCTATGGGCTCCGGTGCCAGGGATGGCACACGCATTTTWAAAAATTTATAGCAATAGAAAATTTTTATTTTGTAAGTTACACCTTGCATAATATATTTCCAGCAAATAGATACGCCTCTTTTTCTTTTTCGTCATTAGAAAAACAGCTAGAAATATTTTTTATAACATCTCTTAAACCTACATTAAGATAGGTTTTAATAAATGATAATAACAAAAGGAGAGGAAACATTACAAAAAATGTGTTACTCTTATTCAGAAATGTCTAACTACGCCACTGAGTATTGCTCAATCTTRTATGTAGATTCTATATTTGCTGTAGTGTATCGCGATAGAGGTCTTGGAATAAAAACTTATAATAATATGCTAGTCCCCTCCCRCCATCGCAATCAATATCACTATATATTACACGCGTAGGTACCCGACATCTATAAAATATTTATGATGTTGGATCTCAGATATATTCTGTTTTTGATGAATTAACTTGTCCGATGCATTAATTAYTAATGACTTAGAAAGAGTTTTAATTTTGAGAGGCTGAAATATTGAAACTTTTGATAACATATTATAATTCAACAACGCTCTATTTTCCTTGCAACCGTTTACCCAATATTTATAATAATAATTATTAAAGCAGTATTTACTTGAACAGCGAGTGTAAGCTTYCCTGCAACTCYAGTCAGCCATTGCGAAAGATACCAGTATTATTATTATAATTTATAATAACCCCAAGTGTAATATCACTAATCACATTTGTCGTTTATAATATGGTCACCGCCACTGCCGTATATTAAAATGAAATTTGTTCAAAATATACATTTTTTTTCCACAAAAAGTAAGAAAAATTATATTTTCCACCCTTTGTTTTAAAACTGAACGGCATTGTAAGGACTCCAACGGGCTTTCAATGTAGTAATAATTTAAGATTACAAAAAACTTTTCCAACATTTCATCGCCGCATCCCCTTCTCTGTAGGTCGTGGTTTCATTAAAAGAAAAAAAATTACCAAGGCGGTTTTACGTGACCAAAATATTATTAAGATTAGGGATAAAAC